GACGAAATTTCTAAAAAAAATAGAAAAAAATGACGCAATTTCTAAAAATAGAAAATGACGCAATTTCTAAAAATAGCAATAATTTCTAAAAATAGCAACAATGATGCAATTTCTAAAAATAGCAATAATTTCTAAGAATATCAAAAATGACGCAATTTCTAAAAAAAAAGACACAATTTCTCAAATAAAAACAATGATGCAATTTCTAAAAATAGCAATAATTTCTAAAAATAGCAAAAATGACGCGATTTCTAAAAATAAAAAAAATGACGCAATTTCTAAAAATAGAAAATGACGCAATTTCTAAAAATAGCAATAATTTCTTAAAATAGCAACAATGATGCAATTTCTAAAAATAGCAATAATTTCTAAAAATATCAAAAATGACGCAATTTCTAAAAAAAAAGACACAATTTCTCAAATAAAAACAATGATGCAATTTCTAAAAATAGCAATAATTTCTAAAAATAGCAAAAATGACGCGATTTCTAAAAATAAAAAAATGACGCAATTTCTAAAAATAGAAAATGACGCAATTTCTAAAAATAGCAATAATTTCTAACAAGAGGGCCATGATGGCCCTGAGGTCGCTCACCTGTATATAGCCACCCCCCCACCCCCGGGCCAATTTTTACCCAAGGGTTTATATTTGTTTATTTAAACAGACTTGGTAGACACCCATAAGAAGATGTTCCATGCTAAACATCTAAGTTCTAGCTCATTGGGTTTTTTAAAAGAAGATTTTTAAAGTTTTTACTATACACATATAGTAAAAAACAATGACACCCCTGGGCCAGGGCCAGTTTTGACCCCAGGGCTTTTTATTTGAACAAACTTTGTAGATATTTACTTAAAGATGTTTCATGCTTAATATCTAAACTCTAGCTATTTGGGTTTTTTTCAAAGAAGATTTTTAAGTTTTTGCTATACACTTATAAGGAAAAATCAATTCCCCCCCCCTCCGGGCGGGGCCAGTTTTGACCCCAGGGCTTTTATTTGAACATACTTGGTAGACACCCATTAGAACATGTTTCATGCTAAATATCTTAGCTCTAGCTCTTTGAGTTCTTTAACAGAAGATTTTTAAGTTTTTACTATATGCATATAGGGAAAATCAATGACCCCCTGGGGCGGGGCCAATTTTGACCGCAGGGCTTTTATTTGAACAAACTTGGTAGACATTCACTAGAAGATGTTTCATGCCAAATATCTAAGCTCTAGCTCTTACGGTTCTTTAAAAGAAGATATTTTAAGTTTTTACTATATGCATATAGGGAAAATCAATGACCCCCCGGGGCGGGGCCAATTTTGACCCTAGGGCTTTTATTTGAACAAACTTGGTAGACACTTACTAGAAGATGTTTCATGCCAAATATCTTAGCTGTAGCTCTTTGGGTTCTTTCAAAGAAGATTTTTTAAGTTTTTACTATATGCATATAGGGAAAATCAATGACCCCCTGGGGCGGGGCCAATTTTGACCCCAGGGCTTTTATTTTAACAAACTTGGTAGACACTCACTAGAAGATGTTTCATGCCAAATATCTAAGCTCTAGCCCTTAGGGTTGTTTAAAAGAAGATATTTAAAGATTTTTCTTTCGGTTGCCATGGCAACCAGAGTTCTGCATGGAATTAAATTCTTTGAACAATTTTTAAAGGTGACCACCAAAGTAACATTCCTGTGAAGTTTGGATGAAATTGGCTCAGTGGTTTATGAGGAGATGTCATTTAAAGCAAAAGTTTACGGACGGACGGACGACGGACGGACGGACGGCCGGACGAAAAGCGATCACAAAAGCTCACCCTGTCACTTTGTGACAGGTGAGCTAAAAATAGCAACAATGATGCAATTTCTAAAAATATAAAAAAATGACGCAATTTCTAAAAATAGAAAAAATGACGCAATTTCTATAAAAAAAAATGACGCAATTTCTAAAAATAGAAAAAATGACGCAATTTCTAAAAATAGAAAAGACGCAATTTCTAAAAATAGAAAAATATTTCTAAAAAAATATATATATATATATACACACACATTTATATATATATAATACATATACTATACAGGATATATATATACACACACACCAATAAATGCACACATCTGAGAAAATTCAGTAATATAACCTTCAAGGTCAAGGTCATTAAAGAGCCCAAGCAAATTTGGGTTTGATAAACAACAAGGTCTGGTCCTTAAGAATGTTCTGTTATAATATGAAGTTTATCCCTTCAATAATAGCAGAGTTACAGTCAGTTACCGCGAAAACAATGAAAATTTCAATAATTTGACATTCAAAGACAATGTCATTTAATGAATGAAGGTCAAGGTCTTTCGGTATATTTTTAACAGTTATCTTTGAAGATTATTATGTCCAAGTTTAAAGACAATCCATTCAAAAATAACAAAGTTACAGCCAATAATAGCCAAAAAAATGAAAATTTCAATAATTTGACCTTCAACGTCAAGGTCATTTATGAGTGAAGGTCAAGGTCTGACTGGTTATTTTTTAGGGATATCCTTGAAGATTATTATGTTCAAGTTTGAAGACAATCCATTCAAAAATAACAAAGTTACAGCCAATAACAGCATGAACAAGCAAAAATTGGACATTTAACCTTGAAGGTCAAGGTCATTTATGGATGAAGGTCAAGGTTAGTGTGGTCTACTGAAAGGTCTTTTCCCAAAGGTTGTTGTGGCCAGGTATGAAGACAATACACCAAGAAATAAAAAAGTTATGATCCAGGTACAAGTTTGCGGACGGCAACGGCAACGGCAATGGCAACGGCAACGGCAACGCCGACCTGACTATAACAATACTTTTCAAAAAAAAAGTCGAGCTAAAAATGCATTTTATCACGTGTTTCGACTTTTTTCAGAATGATATTTAACCTCGATTTAAAATGTTAATAAAATTTATATAAAAATGTTATATATTATATGTAATAATTTTTTTTTTAATATGGATGTCTTCAACAACAATTAATTTGACTTATTTATTTGCTAACATATATATTTCCACATATTTTTTTACAACAATAATCTCAATGTCAGGTCAGTGACCGTGAGGGGGAATTCTTAAACAATCGTCTTTTCCATGCCTTTATTGGCCATCGTTTGTGTTTCTGTTAAAAGCTATTTTATATGATTTTCTATTTTTATCTTAAACAAATTCGGAATTGTCTATGAATTTCTACTTCATTTCTATGCAGGGCATGGCTTTAGTGCCATACGCAAATTGCGCATGCGCGATAAAATACTACTTCCTGTCATTTTTTTCATAGCGACGGACCGCGTCTTAAAAAGGTATATTGCAGAAAATTATTGCATACAATTTTCTTATTAAATTTGGAGTCCTTCGGGCATATAATCATTGTTGTGGAAACTCTGCAACAACTTTTGCTGTAATTGATACCAAAACTATATTGCTCGAACCGTGGAAATCTGTTGAAGAGATCGGTAGTGATCGGTTGATTTTTTATGTATAATAAGATCATACATTTTTGGTGCATGGGTGTGAAGGGTATCCCGATTATATACTTGTTGTTTATATTATAAAATGAAACAAATTACTTAGCCGCTTCTTGAGTGAAGCCCAACTGTATATTGTCAGCCTTAGAAAGGCAGTTGCTTAAAACATGTCGTTGAGAAAAAAGTGTAAGTTCTTAACAATTTTTGCTTGGGGGTTTAAGCCATGTTACTGCTCAATACAGGTTACCGCTGATTCAGGTTTTGCTGAAGATAGCCTATCACTTGTTTATCCTTTGTAGAATGTACACCAAAGCAGTATCATGTTCAATATATGCTTTACAGATTTGGGGTTTTCTGACTGCCGAATTCCGAAAAAATGACAATAACCGAAAAATTTACTTGACAAAATTTTTAACACACCAATCTATATACCGCATATATACTTAACGTTGTCATCATAAAAACGATATGCATGTCTGTTATGCTACTTATATATTTCTCAGTAGTTGCTGTAAATTCAGCGTAAACATTTCAAAAAAAACTTATGACATTAAAACTATATTTTACGAACAGTATACACAAAAACAATTAGTGAATTAGTTCGGTTTTATAATGTATATGAATTCGCACAAATTTAATTAGAAACATATCTTTTGAAGTAAAACACGCTCAAAACTAACATTATATAACCAGTTTCATGATAATTTAAACACATATTAAATCATAAAATACGCTTAAATATGCCGTAATGAAGCACAAGAAACACACTGGCAGTAACAAAAGTAATCATAAGAACTCCAGGACATATTTTGAGTTATCACAAGAACTCCGTGACATTTTTAAAAAATCGGTTATTTTTAGCATGGGCTTTATGTTTGCAACTCTGCATTATAATTAGGCATTTTAAGTACATTGTATAGTAACGAAGAAGGTCACAAATGAAAAGGTCAATATGTACGAATGAGCAAGTAATTTGGAAATTTTACTCAAAACTACCACATTTTTATTTTAAAAGGCGATTAAAAATGGACTAAAAGGTTCTTCTGAAACAAAATACAATATGCAAGGGCAGCTCAATTATCAAAGTTTAATTTAGCAACTCAAACTCCCCATATAAAGGTAAAAATGACCATTTTTCACATGAGTTCAATATAACCTAAAACTAGGTTTTTTGTCATCAGTCCATCTTAGGCAAGTCACAGTAAGTCGCTCTGGGTCGGGTTTGTGGCGGTTTTTTCCACCCAGTTATGTTCTTGTTAAAACGTTTTTCACTTGTTATGTATTTTATTGCATTTAATTAATGCCCTATTTACTTGCTATGTATTATATGGCATTTAATAAATGCCCTATTTTTATTCAAATACTAGAGTTGTGTTTTCACTTTATCCATACAAGTGTGACCTTTGTGACTTTCTCTAATGAGCAAAACATAAATCATAAGAACTCCAAACAATATATCACAAGAACTCCACCCATCGTGTAACAGTTCCTCCCTTGTGATTAACACTGTTTACTATAAATCAAAAAACAGATATCAAGTCATAATCATTTACTGATATTACAAAGGTCATTTCTTGCATAGCAGACTGGCGTTTCCGTGAGTTTTACCCATGCCGGAAATTTCATCTGGCATGGGGGGTTCCAGATGAGTCGCGTGCCAAACAACAACGTCATTTTACCGCACTTTATGGATGAACCGCGTTAAATTGACGTCGTTTTAGAAGGGAAATATGTGCTAAGGATGACGTCATTTCGCCGTTGTTATTTAAGTTGTAAGTTCATACGCTTTTGTAAGAAAATAGTAATGGATGAAATGACTTAAATTTTCATGAACATATATCGCATTGAGGTAAACCATTTTAAATATGAAATAATATGGCAGAATATGCAAGAAAAAATATCTGACATATGTTTGCGGTTCGGATCGGAACATCCGTCCCTCGGGAACCCGCCCATGGGCGGTAACTCGGCAAGCCTCGTTACCGCCCAATGGGCGGGTCCCCTCGGGACGGATATTCCGGTCCGAACCGCAACATATGACAGATATTATTAATCTGCATCTGAAATCGTGCAAATGTAAAACAGTTTACAGGTTGCTATTGCTGAGAAAATCATTAGTAATTAAAAGATTCACTTGCTGCTTTACAGTTTGGTAGTTAGTGGTTACTATGAAGGTCAATGGTTGATTTCTCGATTAAAAGTTAATAGTTTCTATAGAAAGTGAATGGTAGCTATCAAATTATATGGTCGCTATGGAAATATGGAAAGTCACTGTATGCTATGGAAAACAATGAATGTAATCGGAGTCGATTGTTTCCATTGAAGTGACTGGTTGATAAAACAATTCATTTAATGTTGGAAATCACTGCTTGCTATGGAACATCAATAATTGAAGAAAACACGTGTTGCTAATAAATACAAGGAAACTGGAAACCTGAAATATTTAAGCATGAATGTACTGTAAAATCTGAAAATTTTGAAGCACTCTAATTTCTAACTAGAAATGTGTCCATAGGACACTGATGCCCCCACACGCCACTGTTCTGTCAATCTTATGACTCTAGGTCAAATATTTTTTGGACTACATGTGCCACAAGTTGAAAACTAAAAATCAACAAAGGGCCATAATTCTATTAAATTTGGTCGCAGCAAAATATCCTTCCTTTACGACCATCTACACATTAAGGTTGTTCATCCCTGCAAGTTTAAGCAAAATCTGCCATCCGGTTTAAGAGGAGTTGCGTTCACAAAATTTCTACATAGTATAAAGTGAAAAAATCAACAAAGGGCCAGAATTCTGTAAAATTTGGTCGCAGCGAAAATTCCTTCCTTTACTACCATCTACACCTTAAGGTTGTTCATCCCTGTAAGATCCGGTTTAAGAGGAGTTGCGTTCACAAAATTTCTACATAGTATATAGTGAAAAAATCAAGAAAGGGCCATAATTCTGTAAAATTTGGTCGCAGCGAAAATTCCTTCCTTTACTGCCATCTACACATTAAGGTTGTTCATCCCTGTAAGTTTAAGCAAAATCTGCCATCCGGTTTAAGAGGAGTTGCGTTCACAAAATTTCTACATAGTATCTAGTGAAAAAATCAACAAAGGGCCATAATTCTGTAAAATTTGGTCGCAGCAAAAATTCCTTCCTTTACAACCATCGACACATTAAGGTTGTTCATCCCTGTAAGTTTAAGCAAAATCTGCCATCCGGTTTAAGAGGAGTTGCGTTCACAAAATTTCTACATAGTATCTAGTGAAAAAATCAACAAAGGGCCATAATTCTGTTAAATTTGGTCGCAGCAAAAATTCCTTCCTTTACTACCATCTACACATTAAGGTTGTTCATCCCTGTAAGTTTAAGCAAAATCTGCCATCCGGTTTAAGAGGAGTTGCGTTCACAAGATTTCGGGACGTACGGACGGACTGACTGACGGACGGACGGACGGACAAGTGCAACGCTATATGCTCCCACATTGTGGGGGCATAAAAACATTTGCAAGCATTGAAAGTACTTAAAACCTGAAAATAGTAAAGAACGCAAAATATTGCAAAACATGTGAACTGTGTCGCACTTCTAATACTCGAAACCCTTAAATCGTGATTTTTTTAAATAACTTGAATCCTGAATATTGGGAAGCACTGAATGGACGGAAAACTATAAAGCATTGAAATTCACATAAACTTCACCCTGAAAAAAATTCACATTACTTATAATTGAAAATGGCGATGCTCGGATGTAAGTGTAACGCACTGAAATAATTGCTACTTGAAAATTGTGATGGACTGGAATAACTGATACTTGTAAATTGTAAAGCACTGAAAGGAAATCAGAAAATCGTATTACACTGAAAATACTAGACAACTGAAAATTGTGAAACACTTAAAGTACTTGACAACTGAAAATCGAGAAATACTGAAAGAACTTGACAAATGAAAATCGTATCACACTGAATGTATTTGACAACTGAAAATCATGAAACACTAAAGAACTTGATAACTGAAAATAGGGAAACACTGAAAGTACTTGACAACTAAAAATCGTGAAACATTGACAGTACTCGACAACTGATAATCAAGAAACTCTGAAAGGACTTGACACCTGAATATCGAGAAATACTGAAAGTACTTGACAACTGAAAATCGTGAAACACTTAAGATAGTCGACACCTGAAAATCATAAAGCTTTTAAAGTACTGACAATTAAAGCGTAAAGGTTTTTTTAAAGTCTAAATACACCAAGCGTTCGCAGAGATAAGTCAAAATCATTCACATCGTGTTTGGAGATTTCCAAAATTTTACAAAAAATTATTTTACAATTAAAGGAAATCTACTGAGGACGTCAAGTCTAAAATAATAAAATTTGAAATTCTTACAGATCAAATTGTGCGCTCAAATGTCTCTATGGGGGAATCGGCTCGTTTGAAATGATTTGCTTGTTTCGACGAACATTTTGCGTCAAACATTTATACGTTTCATTAAATTTGAATTTAATAACCCATTTAATGTTTACTTTTTTAGGAACATATGCCTTACCGTTTTAATTTACTTTTTCTACATTTAAAAATGGATTTAAAGGTTACAAAGATAATAATAATAATAATACGCTGAAAGCGAAATGTGCTCACCAGTTCAATCTCATTCCACCAAGCTGTAAAATCAGTTTGTTGTATTGCAGTCGTTGTTGATATGTGACTTATCTGAAATAAAAACTAAATTATGATTCACTTTAAATACGAGCTCAAATCACCGAATCAAATGTAACAAAAGCAACCCACCCTTATATCCCGATTTATTTCATAACGACAGCATTATCTCGGATTATTTCATGAATGCAGTAATATCTGGAAATGTTTCATGATGGCAGTAATATCTCGAATTATTTCATGACTGTAGTTATATCCCGATTTATTTCATGACGGTATAAAATCTCAGATAATTACATTACAACAGTAATATCTCGGATTATTTCATGAATGCAGTATTATCTCAGATTATTTCATAACTGCAGTATTATCTCGAATCATTTCATGAAATTCAATGCAATTTTATCTCAGATTGTTTCTTTATGGCAGTATTATTTTGGATTGTTTCATGTCGTTGTAATATCTCAGATTGTTTTATGATGACAATAATATTTCGGATTGTTTAATGACAGCAGTATTATCCCAGATTGTTTCATGACGGCAGTATTATCTCGAATTGTTTTATGATGCAGTATTATCTCGGATTGTTTCATGATGTAAGTATTATCTCTGATTGTTTCATGAGGGAAGTATTATCTTGGGGTATTTCATGGAGGCAGTATTATCTTGGAATGTTTCCATGATTTCAGTTTCAGGTCAGATTGTTTCCTTGCCGGCTGAATTATCTAGGATTGTTTTAAGACAGCAGTATTATCCCGGATGGTTTCATATGGTAAGTATTATATCGGGTTGTTTCATGACCGCAGTAATAATTCGGATTGTTTCATGACGTCAGTTATAATTCAGGGTATTACATAGCGACAAAATACGCTCAGATTGTTAAATGGTGACAGGAATATCTCTTATTAATTTTTGACTGCAGAATTTTCACGGATTGTTTCTTTACGGCAGTATTATCACAGACTTTTTGATGTCAGCAGTTTTATCGCAAACTGTTTCATGACTGCAGTAATATTTTGGATTTTTACATGATGGCATTATTATCTCAGACTGTTTCATTGACGAGGTATTATCAACAATTGTTTAATGACGGTAGTATTGTCTCTGATTGATTCATGAAGGCAGTAATATCTGCGAATATTTCATGACAGCAGTTTTATCTCGGATTGTTTCATTAAGGCAGTAATATTTCGAATGATTTCATGACTGTAGTATTAGCTCTGATTGTTTTCTCGACGGAAGTTTTATCTCGGATTGTTTCATGAAGGCAGTAATATTTCGGATTGTTTCATGACTGTAGTATTAGCTCTGATTGTTTTCTCGACGGAAGTTTTATCTCGGATTGTTTCATTAAGGCAGTAATATTTCGAATGATTTCATGATGGCAGTATTATCACGGATCAATTCATGACGGTATTTATATCTCGGATTATTTCATGACGGCAATATTATCTCGGATTGTTTTATGACTGCAGGTAAGATTATTTCCGATTGTTTCTTGTCGACAATATTATCTCTGATTGTTTTATGACTGCAGGCAGTATTATCTCGGATTATTTCAAGACTGCAGGCAGTATAATCTCGAGTTGGTTCATTACTGCATGCAAGATTATCTCTGATTGTTTCATGACATCAGTATAATCTCTATTTGTATTATTACTGCAGTATTATCTCTGATTGTTTCTTGCCGGCAATATTATCTTTGATTGTTTCATGACGGCAAAATTATCTCTATTGGTTTTATGAATGCAGTATTATCTCTGATTGTTTCACGACAACAGACTTATGTCGGATTGTTTAATTACGGCACTATTATATCCGTTTATTTGATCTCGGATTGTTTCTTGACTGCAGTTTTATCCCTGATCTCGGGTTGTTTCATGACTGCAGGCAGTATTATCTCGGATTATTTAATGAGTGCAGGCAGTATTATCTCGGATTGTTCATGACTGCAGGCAATATATCTCGGATTGTTTCTTGACTGCAGTATTATCTCGGATTGTTTCATGACCGCAGGCAGTATTATCTTGGATTGTTTCTTGACTGCAGTATTGTCTCGGATTTTTTCATGGCGGCAGTATTATCTCGGATTTTTTTTTATGACTGCAGGCAGTATTATCTCGGACTAGTTCATGACGGTCGTATTATCTCGGATTGTTTCTTGACGACAGGCATTTTAATCTTGGATTGTTTATTGACTGTGGTATTATCCCGGATTGTTTCATGACTGCAGGCAGTATTATCTCCGATTGGTTCATGACGACAGGCAGTATTATCTCGGATTGTTTCATGGCGGCAGTATTATCTCGGATTGATTCATGACTGCAGGCAGTAAAATCTCGGATTGTTTCATGACTGCAGGCAGTATTATCTCGGATTGTTTCATGACTGCAGGAAGTATTATCTCGGATTGGTTCATGACTGCAGGCATTATTATTTCGGATTGGTTCATGCCGGCAGGCAGTATTATCTCGGATTGTTTCAAGACTTCAGGCATTATTATCTCGGAATGGTTAATGATGGCAGACAGTATTAACTCGGATTGTTTCATGAACGCAGGCATTATTATCTCGGATTGTTTCATGACTGCAGTATTATCTCGGATTGTTTCATGACTGCAGTCAGTATTATCTCGGATTGTAACATGGCGGCAGTATTATCTCAGATTGTTTCATGACTGCAGTCAGTATTATCTCGGATTGTAACATGACGGCAGAATTATCTCGGATTGTTTCTTGACGGCTGTATTACCTTTGATTGTTTCTTGAAGGCTGTATTAACTCGGATTGTTTCATGACGGCTGTATTACCTTTGATTGTTTCTTGAAGGCTGTATTAACTCGGATTGTTTCATGACGGCAGTATTATCTCAGATTGATTCTTGACAGCTGTATTACCTTTGATTGTTTCTTGAAGGCTGTATTATCTCGGATTGTTTTCTTGATGGCAGTATTATCTCAGATTGATTCTTGATATCGTGATACCGTGAAGGATTATTTCATGACATAAATAAAAAGTAAATAAAATATCCATGTTTAAGATGTTCATGTTATAACCTTTTCAGCATGACTTCGTAGCTGTAAAGATATGCATCGAATAAGTTCTTAACTAGGCAATATTTAAAGTTGTACTATTATATGTGTTTTAAATATTATGATTGATTAAATTATTTTTAAGTTAAACTTCTGCAGAATTTCATTTCTTTAAATATACGTAGATATTTATATTGCCACTTTATTCATTTATTTTATTCTTCTTTATTGCCAAGGCAGGAATTTAAAAAAATGCATTTCGAATGTACTTACTTTATTTCGGAAATCCTTTAACCGCCATATGTCTGCCTCTATTGATACATCGGTTTGTGCTGGTGCTGTCCTCCAGTCAAACTTTTTATTTAATCCAAAACATTTCAGATTTCTAAGAAGACAAATAATAAGCGTGATGTCTAAATCTGACGAAGTTGGGACTTTACCTCCCGCTGGAAACAACACGTCATATTGGACCTGGGTTATAACGCCGCGGCTTTTCAAACGTGTTATTGTTGACTTTTCTTGATTCAAGCACGCACTGAACGTTATGCATTGAGATGTCAGGGACTGGTCCAGTATATTTCTCAATACCAGGAGGCCACCATCAATGACTAGTATTTGTAACCGAAACAAAAATATACGGTTGTCTGGCGTCTGTGGTTGACCTCCGGTTGCCATTTTGTTTACTTCTTGATTTATTACATCTGTATTATAGCCACATCTGTAATGTACAAGTTACAATTGCTTTAAACACATTATTATACATGTAGTTATGTCGAATCGCAATCATAATATATATACAATTTATGTAAGTTATATCGATATTTTAAAATTGTTGTCAGATTGTGTTTCTGTCAAATTATTCATATTAAGACGATTTTAATCTAACTCATTTTAAAAAGAATAACAACAACTGTATTTTAAAGATATAAGTGATTCAATAACCATTTTATGTGATGAATTTAAATGTATATCTAGTAACAGAAATTCAGAACTAAATTGAATCTAATTTATTGAAGTCTGGGATAACAATTATTCCCTATTTGTTGAATTTTGGTAAAACTATAATCGAGGGTGACATAAATAATGACAAGAATTTGTAACAGATGTACCAACGTCCCCGCATACAAAGCATAAAATTGTGCTGTTTAAAAAGATTGAGATACGATCGTATGGATCTCAAGACCTTTAGTCCAAAATGATGATCAATGCTTGATCTACACATTTAAAAATCTATCATGTTAAGCTTTGACCTCTAAGTGTGACCTTGACCTTAGAGGTATTGGTGCTGGTGTTGTGCATGGCATATCATATTATTATTGTAACTATTTGTGCCAAGTATTTTCAAAATCCCTTGAACTATAAGAAGTTATAGATCGGACACAAAATATACCTTATAACAGAATATGTTAATCTTTGACCTCTAAGTGTGACCTTGGAGGTAGGGACCTATGTTTTGCGCATGACATATCATCTTATCGTTGTGACTATTCATGCTATTTGTGATATGTATTTTCAAAATCCCTTGATCTACGAAGAAGTTATGGACGGGACACAAAATATACCATATAACACACTCTGTTAACCTTTGACCTCTAAGTGTGACATTGACCTTGGAGGTAGGAATGCAGGTGTTGCGCATGACACATTGTCTTATTATAGTGACTATTTGTGATATGTATTTTCAAATTCCTTTGATCTATGAAAAAGTTATGGACCGGACACAAAATATACCCTATAACAGACTATGTAAATCTTTGACTTCCAAGTGTGACCTTGCCCTTGGAGGTAGGTGACTGGTTGTTGCGCATGACACATCGTCTCATTATTGTGAACAATTGTGGCAAGTATTTACAAAATCCCTTCAAAATTAAGAAAGTTATGGACCGGACACGACATATACCCTCAAAAAGACAATGTTGACCTTGAATGAGCAGGTGCGACATTGACCCTGGAGGTAGGGGTCTGGTTGCTGCGCATGACACATCGTCTTATTATAACAAACGTTTGTGCCAAGTTATTTCAAATTCCTTTGATAAATGACAAAGTTATGGACCGGACACGAAAGTGTGACGGATGGACGGACGGACCCACGGATATGCTACTTAAATAGACTAAGGGGCTATTTCTTTTGTTATTTTCTTTTGTTTAATAGAGGGCCATGGCCCCATATTCTATTCATATGGAATGAACTCTATTTTTCTCTTTTCTTCTGTTTACAGTTAGATGGCCTCCTACTTCTCATAAATAGCCTGGACGGACAGACAGACGGACGAAGCCTATTTCTATATCCTCTTTTTTCTTCGAAAAGGCAGGGACAATAAAGCATGAACAATAATTATTATCATTATCTTTTGTTCTTACGATAACTGTTTAACTGATTTTAATTGTTTTTATCATAAATGTGACGCTCTAATGAAGATTTATGAAAATTGTAAATTCCAAAAAGCATTATTTGTAGAGATATTACCAAATTTACATTTCATGTAAATAAAGGCAGGTTATTAAAATTTCTTTTTCCATAATGTCTTAGCCAATTTTCAAAACAAAGTGAATGCATATATTTTAGTGAATACTTATAATGCGTATGAACGTTTTGCAGTACATATTTGACATATCCTTGGATGTTTGGAAATTGTTTAAGGAAATAATTATATACATGTATAAAGTTTCACTTCAGAGTTGTTACATCCTTATCCCGGACGAACCCTTCACTTTTCATGCTCGTCATTATGGTCTATTTCCGGTGGCGAGGGTAAACAAACCGAAACACACACATTGTTTCATCCTTAATTACAACATACATGTACAATATCTTTAAATATCCACATAAGTATTCAATAACAAAAAAGTGCTTAGAGTGTCTTCAATTAAATTAGTTTAACAGGAAAACGCTCATTAGATTTGTTAAGTTGTATAGTCATAATTTTTATTTTATTGGTCTCGCATAGAAATTAAAATTAAGGTCAAAGCATTCGATTAAATCGATTATTGTTATTAAAGTTGAGCGGGTGCCACTTAATGAACTCTAAATGAAATAAACAAATTTCATTTTAACAAATTCGATGAAATTTTTTTTTAAATTATCATAGATAGAATCTAATACAAAGTGGAACAAAACCTCATATAAAATAAACAATCGTCATTACTTTGTATCTACGATAACTTCTAAAGTAGTAGAGTATCAAACAAGGCTAAATGACGACCAATACTTTATAACGTTTATTTAGCGACAAAGACTTAGTGAATGTTATTTTGCGACCATTACTTTATTGTGTATATGATTAAAAAACTTAAAGTCTTCAGGTAGAACAATCTTGATCAACTGATATCTGGCTAATAAGACAATGAAACATACCAAACATGTGATGTTAAAGCATTACATTGAAAAAAACAAGAAAAGCATTGATGCAAAGCATCAAAGGGAGTTCAAGCAAAAAATGCAGCAAGTGAAGATAAACTAATAGACATCTGATAACCAGATATTCTGATAAACTTTTAATGAATAGGAAGACGAAAGACTTTGTTCATCATGAACTTTGGTAGGCATGCTAGAGACTAGAATATTAAATGTTTTTTCTCACAGGAACTTTTTGTTTGTTTGTTTGTTTGTTTCATTTTACGCCTTTTCCCAACAGTATTTCAGTCATATATAGGCGGTCACAGGAACTTGAAATTCTATCAATATTGACGATAATATCCAAAATATACAGGTCTATAATATCCAAAATAAACCCCTATATGGTTTAGGTTTATTTTACACTATTTGGGGGTGTATTTTGGGATATTATCATTAATATTGGTTATTTGATAGAATTTCATGTTCATGTGGTATTTTCTTTGGAACATACAAAATAGTAGCCAAAATGAACAATGTCTGTCCATTGATTTATTGGGAGGCAAATCTGCTATTTTAATGAATTACTTCAAAATAACCTAGTCTGACCAACGAGTGTGTTTATATTCCTATCAATATTCCACGCAAACTACCTTAAAATCGATTGCCTTCAAAAAAAAATAAAACATATAAATCCGGGAAATCAGGATCAATTTTAGCCAAATAGACTCGAACAGCAAATAGGTTTTATAGTATACTACTTCTAGACCTGTTAACTGTCGCACAACGTCAAAATATAAGCGACATTTAAAGTTATGAACTAAGTCTATTTAAATATTCACGATAAAAATGTCATAAGCGCAATCAGGAGCGTAAAAAAGAGAACCGGAAAAAACCTACAGAAAAGACAATTTGAAAATGATAATACTATAGCTTTTCGGACTTTCACGATGTTAAGGTCATCATTCTATTTAAAAGTACAGCAATATAAACAGATACATAATAACCCACATGATTAAATAAAAAAAACCCCAAAGAGCGCGATTAATTGATGGATAAGATTATTTCATTTGAATATGTTAGCATTGCGAAATTCTCCAGTTCGCTATTCATTGTACATATCGCGGCATTTCATTTTTGATAATCAAGTACCATCATTCCAATCGGAATGATCGGCTTTTATGACCGACGAAACGGCCCGAGAAAATGCAATTGCACTTTCACAAAATCTGATTTCATTCCATAAAGGGCGTCCAGCTTCGGCGCCGACGCCAATAAAGGTATTTCAGAAAAGACTCTACGCAAAGTCAATCATGATTCGAATGAACTTGGGAGTGATTGAATATGCAATAATACCCAATATATGCTCTAACCTTTGTTTTAATTGAGAAAATAGTTTTACAATAAACTGACCCAAGGGCAAGGCTACTTTTGACCCAAAAGATATGATTGGACCAAATTGTGTTAAAGTTAGCAAGGGCACCGCAAAAGCAACTATATTTTTGAATGAGCTCAAATATTCTTTCAGTTAGATGAGAATCAATTAAACACCAATGGTTGTGGTATTTTACCTCTTGGTGCATGAATAATAAATGATAGTTTTACTGGGAAATGGCAAATGTCAGCTAAACAACCTCTATAGTATCACCCAATAATACTTCAAATGTGTTATCTTCACACTATTGATTAGAGGGGCTTTATTTGATACCATTATTGTTGAAGTCCACAGGGCAATAGTACAGAAAAATGTGTAAATTATATTCCGTAAATTTAGTGTGGCACTAGGAATGTGGATAGTCTAAAGTTGTTTTTTTTTAGCCTATAGCTACCAAAGAGAAAATTACTGAAATCCCTTCATACATCAGTGGTTTGCCTCTTATAAAGTAAAGTGCCTACAAATGAAGTTTTAGATTGACAACGTATTATGCCAATGTTTAATAAGATACACGCTCATTAATCTGTCACTACATTATTTATCCATTAGATTCACTACAAGAGAGACTAAGAATTTAGATAACACATACTTTTGATGGATATTCCCCTCCTTTCGTAATACCGTATGTACATACGCACGGAGAGCTTTAAACACTATGAAATCTATTTTTAGCTTTAAACTATCGTTTTTACCTTGATAACGTTAAACCTTTTAAACCGGCTATAACACGATACACAATCACGCATACACAGAATGATAGAAATCTAGGTATATTATCGCTCATGTAACGTATAACAAGTCGGTCAAATTTAAGGATATATAACTCGTTTTGAAGAGTATTCAAAAAGGCACTTAGGGCCATGGAACCTCAATAAGCCAATGTCTTTTTACTTTTAATATAATTTATGTATCTTCAATATCCCTTTTGCGAAGAAAGAAAAAGTTCAATTTTAATTGTTTAATTAATTTAGGTATTTTTGGCTAAATAATGCTAAATCCAATAATAAATATGGTTAGGTGGCATTTTACTGTACTTTATTTTCAAAGTACAATAACATTAAAACTAAACGGTAACGTATTTAATATTTCGCATAATTAACCACTATACTTTTTAAAAAAGAACAATTTTGAAACTTTGAAAACAGGCACTCATTTCAGTAAATTTAGGGAATTTTTTCATAAGGCTCTCTAAGAAGGATCGTGTTGAAATCGAGTGGAGTAGGATTACATTTTATATAAAATTTCATAAACTTCTGAGTAAAACAATCATTTTGCTGAATTACATTGTCAGCTCAATGTCTTTTACATCTGTGAACCTTTTACCCCATGAGCATATTGCGACAATTGGCCTTTTTCATTGAAAAGCCTCCTTTAACAAGTTCAAACTGCTATTAAACTATGAAAAATGCGTCAATACTAATGAAACTTGGCACAGATGTTAACTAGACTATAGCCTCTGTAACAGCATGCTTAATTGTAAATTTCCTGTTACCATGACAACAGGGGAAGGTCTCAAAATCACTTTTTTGTATTGTTCTTTTCCCATCAATTCTGATTTCAAAGTGCTGCAACTTCTCAATGAATCGAAATAGAGTAAAAGGCTTTTCAGCGTCCGTTACTTGTTACCCTAAGATCGACCTGGGGCCATTTTTAGCCTGTCATATGTCCAAACTTTTCTTGGCGATGAGGGGGACTACCGCCCCCATTCACCCCCCCCCCAAACAGAAGGGGACATTTCCCCTTCTGGCAACCCCCTGATGCAACATTTGGATGAGGGGCGGCGCCGAAAAAGTGGTCTCTTCTTTAAACAAATTTCTCAAACGAAAAACAGTGTTTTGGGCCTAAAAAGGGCATTTTTTTCACTGTTTGAGGCCTCAAAAGGGGGGGGGGGACAAAAAGCCGTCAAAACACGTCTATAGGAGGGAAAACGTTAAAGATTGTCTTTAAATTAATAACAAAACAATTTCGACGTTCAGAATAATATTATTCTCATAGGTATCGTTGGAAAAACACTAAGTGTATGTTACATCCTTGTATATTACATCCTTGTATATTAGGATCCCGACCAGACCGCGCGGACGCGCACGCCCGTCCGGATCCATGCCGGCCGCAAAATCGTTTAAAGTAAAAGATTACTGACGACGGACGGACGGACGAAAAGTAATCACAAAAGCTCACCATGTCACGTTGTGACAAATGAGCTAATTATATACATAACCTACTGTGCTTGATGAGCTGCTTTCTTTAAAGAGTATGCTGTAGGTTAAAGACAAGGGGAGATAATGTCGCCACTACTTTTTTCTCTGTTCGTAGAAGACCTAGAATTATTTTTACAAGATAACATAAGTTCTGGACTTGATATAGAAAAAATTATCTTACTTTTACTATCCTTTGCTGATATGGTTATATTAGGAAAATCGCCTCAAGAATTACAAATGCATTTAGATAAAATATATGGATATTGTAAAAGTTGGGGATTAGAAGTAAATGCAGATAATACTAAAATTGTTGTATTAGGAAAAGAGGCGGTTTTACTAGGAAATGAGTTTTGGACATATGATGGTAATGATATTGAAGTTGTGAATGATTTTAATTATCTAGGAACAGTTTTCAATTACACTGGAAATTTTACTTTAAATCAGGAATACATTGCAGGTAAAACTTTAAAGGCGCTTAATGTTTTGCTTTTAAATTGTAAAAAGTATAGTTTTAAACCAAAGTTATTATGTCAGCTATTTGATTCTTTTGTTGGCTCAATTTTGAGTTATTCGTCAGAAATATGGGGATTTACAAAATCAAAACAAATTGAAAGAATACATTTAAAATTTTGTAAAAAATATATTGTCAGTAAGAAATACTACCTGTACTGTTAGTGTATATGGAGAGTTGGGAAGATATCCTTTGTTCATATCCCGTTTTGTACGCATTGTTAAATATTGGTTTAAGTTGCTGCACACAGAAAATATTATTTTACGCTCATTAAATGATTGTAATA